AAGAAAGAAAGAAAGAAAGAAAGAAAGAAAGAAAGAAAGAAAGAGAGTGTACCCATGTTGTGCAAAGCCTGCAGAAGTGAAAAGAGGGCATCAGATCCCCTGGAATTGGAGTTACCAATGACTGTTAGCTGCCACGTGGGTGCTGGGACTCAAACCCGGGTCCTCTGGAAGAGCAGCCAGTGCTCCTAATCACTGAGCCATCTCTCCAGACCCAATTCCAAACTCTAAAACGACAGACACTGATTCTGATCCTAATAAATAACTCTACCATCATGGGAAAACAGCAAGATATACTCGAAAGAATCAACAGGTTACACAGAAGACAAAGATTATCCAACTAAAAGTAAAAAGGTACAAGAATTCAACTTCCACATGGTCAGTTTCCGCAGGGTCTGAGGATCATTAACGGAGACATACAGTGTTGGCCGGGACAGTTTTCTGAATTCCTCAATTCAGACCAGTTTTATTTCTTAAAAATGATCTTTCTTATTAATAGATTAGTGATTCTCTATTTTTTCCCTTCTTAATACCCCTCAGGTGTTCATTTAGATATAATATTTATAGTTGTCCCACATAAAAATGGAATATTACAGACATACTAAATACAACATATATCTGCGGTGCGATGTTTATGCTGTATAGTATATCTGTGGTATATTTTATGTATACTATACATAGACTGTGTAGTTTCTGTTCTTTATATACAAAAATAGAATCAGTGGCCCTCCGAGAGCCAGTTTTCACCATATTGAGAATGCAGGCTCTATGTGCTATTTTATATTTAAGCATTTTCCATTTCCAAAATGAAAAAGATAAGAAATAATCAAACAAGTGTCAAACTGCTGAGCAGCAACTAAGCAAAAAGTAAAACGAAATAAAACAGGTAACAACTGAAAATTAAAAATAAATTGTAGTTCAAGCATAAGCGGAGAAGATTTTATTTGTAAGACTTCACGGGGGTTGGAAACGACAAGTGTTCAGTTTTGAATCCTATTTAGCGATGTGGCTCGTGGCCTTAAGAAAATGCCCATAAAGACCAGTTTTCTCAGAGATTAAGACTGGCCCTAAAGGCAGTGTGAAAAGGAGTGACTCACCTTTCAGCAAGTGGCATGTTGGTTACGGCGAGATCCAGCAAGGATCGCCCTTGGCATGGCGCAGGTGCGCACAGAGGAGCCGGGGGACTTGAGAACATCCACTTCCCAGTGAAGCTGAGGAATCAATATTGGGGGTTTTCCACTCCCAGTTAGCTCCAGTTTCCCTAGAAACAAATGCCAGGGATGAACCTTTTGTGAGACTAAAATGACCTAACGGAGTTGGAATAGAGGGAACCAGCACTTGTCAGAACGACCCCATGATGGGATGTTTCACTCTAAGGGATGAGGAAAGCTTGCTTTGACAAGGCCTGACTTCCCTCAGGGCAACTAGAGCTACCATGGGATACCGTGTGGATCTAGATCCACATCAGATTCTGAGAATATTGTGGTCCGCGGTGGCTCCAGATCCCTGCTGTGCCACCCAGGCCCCTTCCCGACATTTTCCCGCCACTTCTCCCTACGCGTTCCCGTTCTTTCCGTCATAATGCTTTAGTTTGCAAAACCTGCCTCTTTTTAGTTCCCTCAACAGCCTGGTTTATTTCTCCCGGTCAGTGCCCCACTGGCACTGGACTGTTCCTCCACATTAAAGCTCCACTCGGTAGTTAAAGGCACAATTAAAGGACCGGGGCCAGAATGTCCGGCTTCCCGCTGACAAGTGCGACCCACAGGGGTGACACCCCTAGCGCTGCGTTCTCCACGTTCTCCACGCTTCATTCTCCTCTCAGTCCTCACCTCCTAGTCTTGCAAACTGCAGTAAAGCACCTGAGCTCTAGCTTTGGCTCCCGTTTTCTTTCCCTTTCTTTGCTTGCCTTCCCTCCCTCCTTCCCTCTCAGTCCTCACCTCCTAGTCTTGCAAACTGCAGTAAAGCACCTGAGCTCTCGCTTTGGCTCCCGTTTTCTTTCCCTTTCTTTGCTTGCCTTCCTCCCTCCTTCCCGCCCGCCTGCCTTCCTTCCTTCCCTCCCGCCTTCCCTCCTTCCTTCCTTCCTTCCCTCCTTCCTTCCTTCCCTCCTTCCTCCTTCCTCCCCTCCCTCCTTCCTCCTCTTCCTTCCCTTCCCTTCCCTCCCTCCTTCCTGCCTGCCTTCCTTCCCTCCTTCCTCCTCTTCCTCTCCCTTCCCTCCCCTCCCTCCTTCCTTCCTCCCTCCCTCCTCCTTCCTCCTTCCTTCCCTCCCTCCTTCCCTCCTTCCTTCCTCCCTCCTTCCTCCTTCCTTTCTCCCGCCCTCCTTCCTCCCTCCCTCCCTCCTTCCTCCTCTTCCTCTTCCTTCCCTTCCCTCCCTTCCTCCCTCCCTCCTTCCTTCCTCCCTCCCTCCTTCCTCCTTCCTCCCTTCCTTCCCTCCCTCCTTCCCTCCTTCCTCCCTCCCTCCTTCCTCCTCCCTCCCTTCCTTCCTTCCCTCCTTCCTTTTTTTCTTTCTTCCAACAGGATCTCATGTAGCCCAGGTTAGCCTTGACTTCAGTATGTAGGCTTGATTCTGCTCCTCCTGCCCACACCCTGCAAGGGCTGGTATTAGAGGCTGCACCCCATGCCTGGTCTGTGCAGAGCTGGGCTCTCAAGCTCAGGGCTTCGACGCTGGGTGAGCACGGCACCAATGAGCTGCATCCCCAGTGGCACTGGGCTCTGTTTTCTACAGAAACTAAACAAAAATGTCTTCCTTAGCCTGATAGTATTCAAGATTTTTATGTAACATTTCACTAATTTTTTTAATAAAAGAATTTCACACAGATTTTATTTTAATTTTGCAGAAGTGAGCAGGACATACAGTGATTTCCCATAATCCAGCTGCCTCAGCAGCACAACCAGCCCAACTATGCAAAGGCCTCACTGGATGGTCCATTCACTATACTCACCAAGCCTGTTGCCACGTCATCACAGCAAGTCCACAGCTCACACTGCTGTTGGCTTTTGTACTGTACATGTCCAGCACTGTGCTATCAAACGGCACATTCTAAGTCTCATGAAAGTCCTGTTTTCTGTCTACTCATCCTTCCTAGCCGTTCCCTGCCAACAAACAATCCTTTTACTGTTCCAGTTTGCCTTTTGCTGAACGTGATTTGGTTGGAGTTATACAGTACGAAGCCGTTTCAGATTGACTTCCTGCACTTACTAATGTACACACAAGGTTCTACATATCTTTTTGTGGTTTAATGTTTGAATTCTTTTTTGGCACTGAATAATATTCCATTGTTTGGATCTACAATGGTTTATTCATCCAGCTACTGAAGGACATCTTAGTTGCTTCTAACCTTGGGCTATTGCGAATAAAGCTAATATGAATATCTGTGTGCAGGTTCCTGTATGGGCATGAGCTTTCCATCTCTTGATGTAGATACCAAAGAGTACTGTAGCTGGATTATCTGATACGAGTATGCTTAGCATGTAAGAAGCTGCCAAGCTAGGGTGGAGAGGTGGCTCAGAGGTTACGATCACTGGATGCTCTTGCAGAGGACCTAGGTTTGGTTTCCAGCAACTATCCACAATCCAGGAGATCTGACGCGCACTTCTGACCTCAGTGGGCATTGCATGACGCAGGTGCACTTACATACATGAGGCAAAACACTCATGCACATTAAATAAATATTAATTTTGACAGAAAGAAGCAGCTAAACCATCTTCCAAAACGGTGGTGCTGTTCATCACTGCAACCAGAAGTAAATGGGAGTTCCTGCTGACACGTCATCACCTGCAGTTGGTGCAGTTTTAGATTCTGTTCATTCTAATAAGTATGCAATGCTTCTGGACTGTTGTACAGGTTGAATAGCCCTTCTCTGAATTGCTTGGGATCAGAAATGTTTCATATTTGGGGATTGTTAAATATATATTTGGGCTGGAGAGATGGCTCAGCAGTTAAGAGTACTGGCTGGTCTTGCAGAAGACTAGGGTTCAAATCCCAGCACCCACATGGTAGCTAACAACGTTTCTAACTCCAGTTCCAGGGGATCCAATGTCCTCTTCTGACCTCCACGGGCATTGCACGACACAGGGGAACTTACACACATGCAGGCTCATACATGTAAAATAAAAATAATAAAATATTTTAAAAGTTGTGTATATGTGTATATGTTGGGCTGGAGAGATGGCTCAGCAGTTAAGAACTGGTTGTTCTTGCAGAAGACCCAGGTTCGAATCCCAGCACCCACATGGAGGCTAACAATTGTCCATAACTCCAGTCCCAGGGGATCCAATAGACTCTTCTGACCTCTGCAGGCATTGCACGACACGGGTACACATGCAGGCAATACACACATACACATAAAATAAAAATAATAAAAATTTTTTAAAGTTTTTTTTAAGTTGTGTGTATGCAATGAGTTATCTACGTAATGGTCTAAACAGGTAACTCATTTGCTACACACACACACACACACACACACACATACACAGACACACACATACATACACACACATGCACACACAGACACATACACACACATACACACACACATACAACACACATGGTTCTGTGGTGGTTAATCTACTTTTTCCTTTTCAATTTGACCAGATTTAGAATCACATGGGAACACTGAGTTGTGTTATGAGGTTGTTTCCAAAAAGGTTTAATTGAAGCAGGAAGACCCACCTTGAAACGACACACGGTCCCATGAGCTGGGGCCTCAGGCTAGACCAATAAAAGGGAGAAAGTGAGCCAAGCACCAACGTTCATCTCTCTTTCCTGACTGTGCATATAATGTGACCAGCAGCCTCATGCTCTAGCCTTGGTGCTTTCCCAGTCATGATGGACGGCCCCTTTGTAAACAGTAAGCTGGAATGAACGTTCCATCCCCTAAGATGCTTATCAATATTTGGGCACAGCAGTGAGTAAAGTAACTACTGCAATACTTTACGTACATGGCCTCCAAGTCAGTTTACACAGCACTTAGTGCATCTGCGTTTTGACTGCGACCTGTCATGTAAGTTCAGATGTGAAATCTTCTATGTGTGCGTCATTGTTGGGCCTCAAATAGTCAGAATCTGAAGCTTCTGGGATTTCAAATTTTCAAATTAGGAATACTTGGTCTGTGTTAGTTTTTTGGTTTCCCTGATGACATAGAAAATGAATCAACTTTTCATATGATTATCCTCTCTCTCTCTCTCTCTCTCTCTCTCTCTCTCTCGTCTTTTTGAGACAGGGTCTCCCTGATCATCAGTATATCTTTTAGTGAGTTGTCCATCCAGGTTTTTTGTCCACCTATTTTAAAAAGTATTTTATTTATTATTTCATTGTATGTGTATGAGGTATTGTCTGCATGCGAGTACATCCGGGTCATGCAGTGCCCGCAGAGGTTGGAAGAGGGCATTGGATCCCCTGAAACTAGAATTACAGACAGTGGTTAGCCACCATGAAGGTGCTGGGAATCGAACCCGGGTCCTCTGCAAGAGCAGCCAGTGCCCTCTCTAGCCCCTTGTCCACATCTTGAAAAGGGTTGTTTATTTGAAATTGTTGAATTTTAACTATTCCTTATAAGTTTTGGATAAAAGTCTTTTAAAAAATATGTCTTCTATAGTTTCCTAGTCTGTGCCTCTTCTCAGTCTCTGGACAGTGCCACCTGCAGAGCAGTAAATTGTCGTTTTAATGAACTCCAGCACGCATGAGCATCTTTACTTAATGGATTGAGCCTTTAGTGTTCTACATAAAGCCCACCACTACGCCCAAGGTCACGGAAGTTTCTACCAAGTTGTTTTCTAGGAAAGTTATGATTCTGTCTTTTAAATTTAAGTCTGTGATCCATTTTGAATTTATTTGTTCATTTATTTATTTATTTATTTTTTGGTCTTTTTGAGACAGGGTCTCCCTGTAGCCCCAGCTGTCCCGGAACTCACTATGTAGACCAGGCTGGCCTTGAACTCACAGAGATCTGCCTGCCTCTGCCTCTCGAGTGCTGATATTAAAGGCATGTGCCACCACTCCTGGCTTGAATTTATTTTTATGAAATCTGTACAGTCTATGTCTAGATTAGTTTTTGCATGTATATATATATGTCTTTGCTGCTTTGTCAAATATTAGCTGAATAAATTATATCAGTGTGTCAGCCTTTCCCTTGCCTCTTTGTCCACTGAGCACTGACTGTCCATCCACACCTTCACCAACGCCACTCTATTGTTTTACGTTAAGTGGTCAGTTGGGTAGCACCAGCCCTACAATTTCATTCGTTTTCTTCAGTGTTATCCTGGCTGCTACAGGTTTTTTCTTCTCTGT